CCGTGCTGGGTCAGTCCCAACAAGCCCCTTCCTGGATCAGGGCGGACAGCAAATTTAACGTCTCGCAGGGACACATATGACTGGGGGCTGACAGGCCCCACACTTTGGTGTTGAGGAGGATCTTTCTCTGAAGTGTTACCCGCAATCTCCATGGATCGGTAAGTAAATGTTCCCCCCCCACCCTAACTTGGGCACAGGTACCTCTGGGGTGGTCAGCCCTACGGGATTCTCTTCTCCCTCCATAGGCCTGGGTCCCTTTGCCATTCACCCCTCTCCCCCTATGCCCCTGGGGTCAGTTGGCACAGGGTTGGTTACCTGGTTCCCATAGTCCTCACCCCCCCCCCTTTTGCCTTCCTAGCTCCCCGACTTGGTAGTAGTACTTCACTGGGTTCTCTGAAGTTGATCTGAGGACTGGAAGTCTTAACAGGAACCGGTCACCTTTCCTTTCAAGGTGCCCCCTGGATGACATTTTCAAGGGCCTCACAGGTGGTAGAGTACCTTTCTTCCGTGTTCCAGACCTGGGAAGGTGCCACAGGGACCCTACCCATCTACACACATGTGGCTTCTTCGTCCTTTAGCCGAGGGTTCCAAGCCCCTCAGACTCCCCAGGGACCAAAACGGGCTTGACCTTACAAACTAAGCTCAAGAGCAAGCCTCCCCCCCCCCCCCCATCGGTATGTAGATTGCCCACTCAAGACTTTGGGGTGGGGTTCACTTTCCTCCCCTCCCAGGCCGTAGAGCCTGGGTAAGGTGTATATCCACCAGACATGCTCTTTTATTCCTGTTTGCAGTGTTTCCCTCTTCGATTGCAGGCTCTTAATGAGATGGGCATGATTTTTTCCTTCCAGGAGAGACAGCCCAGATTCCAGACACGGGGGGAGATCAGGGGTCTTTCACTATCCTGTTTACAGTTCTGAAAGAAGTGGGAGTCATCACATCCTGGACCTTGAGGCCTGAATATTCTCGTGGTGGGGCAGAAATGTATATTGGATCTTTTCATTCAGTGGTGGCTACCCTTCCTACAGGTGATTTTTTAGCCTCCCTAGATAGCGTGGTTTCATGCCTACACTTTTTCCTTTGGGATTGGCACCAATGCCGCCTACTTATTTGCGGGTAGGGACACACTTTACCAGTTTGTGGCACTCCTCTTTGCTCTGGCCTCTAGTCCTTGGATGCTTACCACAGTGCTGTCTTCAAGCCTGATGTTGCTGAGACAATGGGGGGCTGTTCTGATTGGTTATCTGGATGGTCTTCTCCTCCGAGCTGTTAACTCATTTTGCGCTGATGGATAGCATTTTCAGGAGTTGGATGGGTCCTGTACCTTGAACAGTCTGTTCTGCCCCAAACAGAAGGCTGGAGTATTTGGATTGCCTTGACGGACCTAAGTCTTCCTTCCACTGGATAAGCTCTGGAGGCTTCATTTGCCCATTCAACTGCTGCTGTCCCACAAGTGTGTTTAGTTGTGATCCTGTCTGCAGTTTCTGGGCATCATGGTGTCCGTTCTGGATGCGCAGTTCTCGACAAAATCCTGCAAGAGTGGGGGCGGTGGTCACTACAGATGCCAGCCTTTTCGGCTGGGGAGCAGTCGCCAAGGTTGGCTTAAGGCTGCTGGACATTGGAGCATGCCTGTTTACCGATATACTGTATGTCCTAGAGGTTCGAATGATTAAATTATATCTAGAGCTGCGGACAGAGATTCTTTGTGGGTGCTCGGTCAGGTATCGATTGGACAATACCACATCGGTGGCCTAAGCTGAATGTCAGGGTGGCCTGAGGAATGTGACAGCGGCGCTGGAAGGGTCCAGAATTCTTTGATTGGCAGAGTTTCATATACAGGGCTCTCTCCGCCATATACATTCTGGCTCTGCATTACCTGAGTCACCAGGCGCTGGATCAGGGAGAGTGGCCTCCACACCTGGAAGTGTTTCAACTGTTCTGTATACGGTGGGGCTCCTGACATCCTGTTTCCAAAGACTAGTGCTGTGGTTTGTGGCAGGAGCGTTTGTCAGGCACAACATATGCTCTGATGGTGCCATTTTCATCTCATTTCTTTCTCCTCCTTTTCTGTTTCCCGCTCGTCAGTTGCGCAGGATAAAGGCTAAAGGGATTCTAATCCTTCTGGTGGCCTGGCCTCACTTGGCTTCATCAACCCTGGTATGCTGACGTGGTGTGGCAGTTGATTCTAAGGGATGATCTTTTGTCCCAAAGGCAAGATCTTTCACCCTGCATACTGTTTAATGCTTGGCATTTGCAAGCCAGGTTCCAGAAGTCAGGTGGCTGTCAGTCCCAGTGCTTCCTTTTATGTGAATGTACCCCCCGGAAGAGTTATCACCCTTGACAGGTTTCGATCTTGGCTTAAGACTTCTCAGTGGCTCACATCTTTGCCTTCTCCAGCATTGCATTGTGCACAAGCTTGCTTTGAGCACCCTTGAAGTCCTGTTCAGTCTCTTAGCCACACTCTCCTTGGTTTATATTTTTCTCTGAGGGGTTCGTCATGTTGCACCCCCAGTGTGTTCTCAGCTGCTATTGAACTTTGTTCTTTTGATTCTTCATAAGCCTCCCTTTGTGAATCTTGGGGACATTCCCTTGCTCATGCTCTCTTGGTAAGGTCGCATTTTTCTTCCCTTCAGTTCCACGTGCCAAGGTTGACACTGGTGGCCTTGTTCTGGCCTACACAAGGATGTGGTGGTTGTTCAACCACATCCTTTCTTCCGTGGGTGGTATCTCTTTTTCATATAAATACATTGTCCTACCTTCACTTTGTCCACTTTCTTTGCACCCTGAGGAGGTTGTATCACACTCCTTGGGTCTCGGACGTGGTCCGGGCAGTTTGTGTCTACCTGTCCACTACGGTTTCCTGTGAAGGTCACATTCTCTTTGTGATTATGGATGGGCCCTGAAAAGAGACCGATCCTCCTCACCACCGAAGTGGGGGGCACAGCCACAGAGTTTGGCATATATATCGTGGTCTCCGGTGTCTCTATATCGGGTGTCTCTGTATCGTGGTCTCCGGTGTCCAGTCATATGTGTCCCTGCAAGACTTTTAACTCGCTGGCCATCCTGATCAAGGATGGGACTTGTTGGGGCTGACCCAGCACGGAGCTAAAGGTCTGCACGCCCTGTTGGCTAGAGTGGGGTGACCACTGATTCTAGATTATCCTGCCCTTTGCCCTGCCCAGTTGTTGATCCCCAAAGGAAAAAATCTCAGAAAAAAGAAAACCGCTACGGAACCACAGGTCCCAGTAGGGAACTAGGTTTGTACTCTTGAAACACTAGGCAAAAATAGGCAGACCATAGGGGTTTATACTGTATCAACTGCCCATAGTGGGTGCTGTTACTTTTCTGCTTAGTGGCCTACTCCTGTAGGTGGCGCTATAAACCCTATGGTCAAGACTGAGGAGAAGCCGTGTCTGTCCATGAACTTGGAAAAAGGGCTTTTACGGTGAGTTTTTTTGTTGCCTGTCTCTGGGCTTTTTATATCATATAAATATATTTTTGTAGGTGAAGTCTCCAGGACTGGACATAGGTCTAGCTAAAGATCTCTGGTGGATATATCCCAAGCAAAAGTCCTTCTTCCAGAAAGAGTTCTTTCTCTAAGAGCTCATGCTCAACAACTGAGATCCAAAAGAAATCCAACAGTGAGGTTCGCCATGAGATTCACTTTTGCCCAATTCCATTCAAGGACTCTCAATTATTCTGTCAGCATGGAAAAAGTTCCTGAATCTACTCATGTTCCTGTCCTCCCAAACAAGGAAGTTCTCTAACAGTGGGAAAATTGTTCCTTCCCTGCAGTTGGAAGGCTCCTACAATATACACAAGTCTGTCAGGCTGTGGTGGAGACTTCCAATCTTTGACAGTTCAGTTAACATAACCATAAGAGAAGGGACAAAACTTCCCATCAGCTTCTTGGAGCTCAGAGCTGTCAGGCTGTTCCTCCAGCCCTGAACCCCCATCTGAAGGGACACTAAATTCGGGTGCAGTCAGACAATGCCACAATGGTGGCATATACACAATATTGCCAAAAGTATTGGGACGCCTGCCTTTACAGGCACATGAACTTTAATGGCATCCCAGTCTTAGTCCGTAGGGTTCAATATTGATTTAGTCCACCATTTGCACCTATAACAGCTTCAACCCTTCTGGGAAGGCTGTCTGCAAGGTTTAGGAGGGTGTCAGTGGGAATGTTTGACCATTCTTCCAGAAGCGCATTTGTGAGGTCAGGCATTGATGTCGGACAAGAAGGCCTGGCTCTTAGTCTCTGCTAATCCCAATGTTGTTCTATTTGGTTGAGGTCAGGACTGTGCAGGCCAGTCATGTTGGAACAGGAAGTGGCCACCCCCAAACTGTTCCCACAAAGTTGGGACCATGAAATTGTCCAAAATGTCTTGGTATGTTAATGACTTAAGAGTTCCTTTCACTGGAACTAAAGGACCATACCCAACCCCTGAAAAACTACTCCACACCATAATTCCCCCCTCCACCAAACTTTACACTTAGCACAATGCAGTCGGGCAAATATCGTTCTCCTACACACACACACACACACATTTATATTGCAGCGCATAAAACATTTAAAATGAAAACTTGTCAAAAAAATGGTATGAATATACATATATATAATCAGTGCAACCGATAAGGTATTATACAGATTCATACTGGAAGGACTTTTTGTTTATCAGCGATGTGATTCTAGTAATCATGGCAAATCGTGTCCAGTTCCACACAGTGCTCTCGAGTCCAGTGTGCAATCCACCAAGTACCGTTCTCCTGGCAACCACGAAACCCAGACACATCCATTGGATTGCCAGACGGAGAAGCGTGATTCGTCAGTCCAGAGAACACATCTCCACTGCTCCAGAGTCCAGTGGCGGTGTGCTTTACGCCACTGCATCCGATGCTTTGAATTGCTTTGAATTGCACTTGGTGATGTAAGGCTTGAATGCAGCTTCTTGGCCATGAAAACCCATGCCATGAATCTGAAGGCCACACGAAGTTTGGAGGTCTCTGCAAACAGTTGGCGACTTCTGCGCACTGTGCCCTTCATGTTGATCCTGCTCTGTCATTTTACTTGGCTTACCACTTTGTGGCTGAGTTTCTGTTGTTCTCAGTTGCTTCCACTTTGTTATAATACCACTAGCAGTTGACCGTGGAATATTTAGTAGCAAGGAATTTTCACGGATAGACTTAATGACCTGGTGGCAACCTATGACGGTACTAGGTGGCAACTTATCATGGTACCATGGTTGAATTCACAGAGCTCCTGTGAGCAACCCATTCTTTCACAAATGTTTGTAGAAGCAGTCTGCATGCCTAGGTGCTTGATTTTATGCACCAAGGAGGTGATTGGAACACCTGATTCCAATGATTTGGAGGAGTGTCCCAATACCTTTGGCAATATAGTGCATCAACTGAAATCCAAATAAAAAGTGAGATTTGCCATGACACTTCAAGGAGGCAGAAGGTAGCAAATCAGATTCTCACATGGACAGAAACTCGCTGTCTAGCGATTTCTGCGGTCCACACTAATGGAGTAGACAACTGGCAGGCAGATCAATGCATCCTGATATGTTCAATCTGATATGTCAAAAATGGTGGACTCTGAATGCAGACAACCTAGCCTCGGAATACAACAATAAACTACCTTAGTTTCTATTCAGAACCAGGGATCTTTTAGCTCTGGCCTCAGATGTTCTAGTTATCCCATGGTCTCATTTCAGACTAAGCAATGCCTTCCCTCCACTGAGATTTCTGCTTTGCCTGTTTCACAAAATTGAATACGAAAGGAAGACTGATTTTTCTATAACTAAACTGTCCCAGAAGAACCTGGTAAACACTCAAACGTCCTGAAGAAGACCCCTGGCCTCTACCCAACATCATGCCAGATCTGCTATCTCAAGGCCATCTATTCAAACGTGTGTCACATTCTCTGTCTTCAACAGCATGGCTGTTGAAACCCAGGTCTTAAAGAATAGTTTCCTTATCTGTGATTCATACCTTGCAGAAAGCAAGAAAACCTACTTCAGGAAGATGTATTATCATACCTGAAATTGGCACTTTGCTAGGTGTGAGCACAGTTAATTTAATCCCAGAGATTACTCTGTGCCTTGCATTCTGGCTTTTCATCAAGCATGTCTTGAGAAGACTTTGGCACTTAGCTCCCTGAAAGGCCAGGTTTCAGTTCAGCCTTATCCAAAGGCCTTTGGCCATTACATTATAAAACTCTTAATGCAGGGTGTTTATCATATTGAGCCCCCTTTGCAGCACCCCGTGCTGTCCTGGGACCTTGATTTGTTTCTATCTGCCTTGCAGAAACCAACCATTTTACCCTTCAAGCATATTGCTTCCTGTACATGCCAGCAAAATAGCTTTTCTATTGGCCATCATGTCTGTCAGGCATGTCTCTGAACTGGTGGGCCTTTTTTCAGCTCTCATCAATGAGAACATTGTTCTGCTATCCCTCTGCCCTTCTCCTAAACATCCAAAGGAAGTCTCTATTGAATTATACCTAAAAACAGCTTCCATTAGACAAAATGATTCCCTGTTTGTCCCTTGCATAGGACCCTGCAAGGGCACCCTGCTTTTAGAAGTATAATCCACCATTACAGAACGGATAAGGCATTTAATTACTAGAGCTTATGGTCAGAAGCAAACCTCTTTCTGTGCTCTTAGGTGTCCACTCCACCTGTTTGAAAAAGTATGAACAGCGGACCAGGATACTCAAAGTTTTACCAGGTATCCATAATTTTGTGCAGATGCAAATTTCGACTGTACAAATAAGATCAGAGGAGTTGACTTGCCATTAAATCCCGTATCTTAGTTAACCGTAAAAGATACAGGCCACCCTCCCTAGACTCTCGTTGTTACTCTGATTGCTTGCTACAAAACTGAGGACCCACAGAGCAGGCTAGGGTAGGGCCCTCCAGGGGGGAATGTCCTCAAAAGCTTGCCAGAGTTCCAGAGCTTGCCTGAATGTGTTTGTCAGGGACCCCAGTAGTTGCCGCGATCATATACGGGTCTGCGCATGCGCGGTGTGCCTGGCCGCACTAGCGTGCAAGCATTGGGACCAGGGCACCCGCGATTGCAGTGGCGCATGCGCACTCGCGATCGCGGGCTCGAGCCTGGCACCAATCAGGGTGCAGGGCGCCCTATTTAAAACAGGATTAGACTGCAGTGAATTGCCCTATGGTCTTACCTGTTTCCTGAAGTTCTTGATTAGTAGATTGCTTTGTTGCCGACCCTGCCTGACCCTGATTTGCTGTCTGTCTCCTGCTCTAATCCCTGGCTTGTCTGACCATTCTCCTGCTTAACCCTGCACGTTCTGATCTCCTGTTAACGAACCCGGCTTGTGACCTGTTTATCCCTCTGCCTGCTGATTTTGTACTACACCGCCACCACTGTTACCGACCCGGCCTGCCCGATGCTGCTCTTGTTACCTCCTCACATCAGACTCTCACCTGCTATACACCTCCAACGGTGCTTCTACAACAGCTGGGTGAACCCAGGGGCCGCGACCAGGTCTCGGCCTGCTCCAAGTCCATCCCCACCATCAGGGGCCCTGGAGAACAAGCAGGTCGGAGCTTAGATTCCGCGCCTTGGGGGAGTCCGCTCTGTGGAGTGCTAGAGGCTACTGCGGTAGGACCCCTGACAGTGTTTATAACCTTGTAGATACGGATATGGATACGTTGCCTGTGTCCTGTACACTTCCTCTGAAATTCAAAGGAGAGGAGTGGGACAGTCGGCTTCTCAGAGTACCCCCTGGCTGGATACCTGGACTGGAGAGAGGACGTGTGCCCTAGCATACCCAGGAACCACGGATACCCCTATGGGAGAAGATCTAGGGAAATATAATTGAAGCAACCCTGTGGAATCCCCCTGGAGATCGCTCTGAGGATAGTAGTTGGATGTCAGCAGTTGGGAGCCACATTGAAGAGAAGGAGGGGAGAGCTGGGTGAGTGGAAGCGGTCAATCAAATAAATTAATGTTTTGTTTTTTTTTTAAGTTATTTTCATGGTACTGAAGGAGAGATGAGGGGATTTCCAAGGGCTTTGAAGGAGAGATAAAAAGAAGAAATTAAGCAACCAAATAAGGAAACCAAGTGGACAATTTATTAGGCAAAGAGGGGACCCTATCATATAGTAGTAACACCTATTATCTTATGAACCTATAGAGGAGAATAAGCCCCACAGAAGATATGAAGAATAAAAGTACTAAAGGAAGCAGGCTTAAAGGGACCCAAACGGGAACAATTAAAAAATACACGTCTCAGGGAAATGTGACCCCAGAAAGGCTACAAGGTATAAATGGAAAAGGGGAAGGTGATATTAGTCTGGAAAAAAGCCCTAGATTATCATTGGACTTGAATGTTCGTAATCAACAAATAATTGGAATGGTGGAGTCGAGAGAAATGGAAAGTGATCTACAAGCACCAAACAAAAAAGAGATGGCAGAAATGTTTGGGGCCTTAGAAAAAATAATAAAGAATGAAATGGCAACTATCCGAAATGATCTGGGGCAGGTGCTGATAAGAGTGGAGGAAACGGAGGAGAAAATTAAACATCAGGCCCAAAACATTTCTCAATTAGAGAAAAAAATAAAGAATATGGGAGAAAACCCAGGAAAAATTGTTGTATAAATTGGAAGTACAAGAAAATTGGGACATGAGGAATAGTCTTAAGGCTGAGAGGTGTCCCAGAGACTGTAGAAGGGGAAGTATTGCAAGAAGAAATACGTAAAATTTTAAATTTTATAATGGACAAATCTGAATTAGAAGTGATTAAAATGGATGGTGTCTTGAGAATAGGAAAACGATATCAAAGTGTTTGGAAGGAAAAACCGAGAGATGTAATCGTCCAACTCCACATATATGGGGATAGAGAAGAGATTTGGAGGAAGATTAAAGGGAAAACAATGATTAAATATGGCGAAATGGACATTCAGATTTTTGCAGACCTTAGACCAGAGACCTTGTAGAGAAAAAGAACTCTGAAACCTCTGATAGAGCAGATGAGAAAAAAGAATGTGTCTTATAGATGGGGAACTCCAGTATGCCTGATTGGAAATCTCAAGTGAGCTGTTACTCCATTTTTCCAACCAGAGGATATGAGGGATTTTTGTGAAAGACTTCAGTTGCAAAGAATGGAGATTGTCTTATGAGAAGAAGAAAATAGAGAACGAGGAGAGACAAGACTGGCAGTCTGTTAGGGGGAGAAGGTAGAGGGGGAGAGCGGAGAAGGGGAAAGAAAGGGAAGGAGGGGAAAGTTTTTTTTTTTGTTTTTTTTTTCTCCCTCCTCTTGTTTCTTTCCGCTCCCCTCCAACTCCTCTCCTCTCTCCTGTGAGATTTTAATATCTCCTTCGGGAGTATATATTAGGAGGTTTGAGGAATAGTAGTGATATAGAAAAGATAGATTCACTGCCTAAATAGGGATCTTTTTGAGATCTTCCTCTGGAGGATATTGTGGAACTTTAATGAGTTGATTTAATGGATGGGGAGGTGGGTGGGAGGAGGAGCTGCCCATGGGCGGAGTTCAACCCGAATACTAATCAATAGTGGCATTTAGGTCCACAACTGATTAATAGGCATATTAGAAGCCTAAAAGCGGGAGGAGGTGGGGGTGGGAGGAGATGGAGGGAGGGGGGGGTGGGGAGTGGGATTGGAAGGGTGTAATGGGGGAGGGTGGGTAGGAGGGACAGGGAAAGGGTATTAACGGCAGTATAAGGGAATTGGTGGAAAAGAGGAAAGTGAGGAGAAAAAAAGAAATATAAGAAGTATGGAAGAGTTACGGTTTATAACATATAATGTAAATGGGTTGAATTGTCCTGGGAAGAGATTTAAGCTATTCAAGGAGTTGAAACATAGAGAAGCATCGGTGGTCTTTTTGCAGGAGACACATCTTGAGATTAAGTCAAATATTAAGTTGAACTCTAGAAATGACCCAATATGGTATTACGCAGATTCCCCCATTAAGAGAGCTAAGGTTTGCAAAAAACAGAAGGCTGGAGTTGCAGGAGAGAGAAATAGATCCTGAGGGGAGATTTGTGTTTTTGAGAGGTAGATTGCAAGAAATGGAATGTACAATTGCAAATATTTATTGCCAAAATAAGAGACCGGAGTTATATTTGAAAGGTATTTTGAGCAAACTGATGGCTTTTAAAAAGGGACTTTTGATAGTGGCAGGGGACCTGAATTTCTGTATGGATCCACAAATAGACACAACCTCTTCTGCGCAGCGAGAGGGAGGTAGGTCTCTGAGAACTTTAAAAAAGGTGATGCATGAGTGCCAACTGGTAGATATCTGGAGAGTAATACATGGGAAAGAGAGAGACTATAC